GTCCCCTGGTGGTCAGTGCATGTCATAGCAACTGGTCAACCAGTTGACTGTCTGCCCCCTGGTGGTCAGTGTACATCATTGTGAGCAGTTGAGCAGCCTTAGCATATCATTAGCATATTACCCTTTGATTGGTTGTTTGGTTGTTCTGCCATCCTGTCTATTTGCATATTACCCTTTTATTATATAGGATTGATTTCAGAGAGGAAGGAAGAGAGAGATAGAAACATCAAAGATGAGAATTATTGACGGCTGCCTCCTACATGCCCCATACTGGGGATTAGCCTGCAACCTAGCCATGTGTCGTTGACCAGAATTGAACTTGGGACTCTTTAGTCCACAGGCCAATGCTCTGTCCACTGAGCCAAACCAGATTGGGCAGAACCTATTCTTATTTATTTTCATAAGCACAGAACTTTCACTAATAGTATGTTTGTTGAATGTTCAAGAGCAGAAAGCCAAAAGGGATAGACTAATTATAGGAAGCACATGGGGCAAATAAAAGCACAATTAAAAAATTATTACAGCTATTCATTAAAGACTATGCCATAAGTATCATGCTAGGTCTTTATAAATATTTTATTAAACTTCAATCCTAAAAACCTCCCTTTGAGCGAGGTGTTATGCTCATTTTATGAGTAAAGAAACTGAGAATCATTTTATGAGTAAAGAAACTGAGAATCAAAACTGATAAATAGCCCTAGCTGGTATTGCTCAGTGGATAGAGCATTGGCCTTCAGACTGAAGGATCCCAGGTTCGATTCCAGTCAAGGGCATATGCCTGGGTTGCGGGCTCGATCCCCAGTAGGGGGCATGCAGGAGGCAGCCGATCAATGATTTTCTCTCATCATTGATGTTTCTCTCCCCCCCCCTCACTTTCTCTCTGAAATCAATAAAAATATATTTTAAAAAAACCAAACCTGATGAATAGCTTGCCTGGGATGACACAGCTAATGGATTGACACAGCTGAGATTAGCACCTGATTCCAAAGTCCATGCTCTTACTAGGATACACCACGAATTGTCATTTTTCAAGTGTGTATTGGAGAGCTAGAAGATTGTTGGAGTGCCCTTAACAACTCTCTTTAAACAGCAGCTAGGTGATACCGCCCCAGAGCAGCGGTCACCAACCTTTCAGACCTCATGGACCACTGGTTGGCGACCACTGCCCCAGAGAACCAAAGTTTGATCTTTTTTGTAATGTGTGAGCATGCATATCCAGAAGACGAGAGCCCTGGAGGTATTTCCTATATTTTTGAGCAACGTTCCTTTTATCTCTGTTCAGCCTTGTATTTAAGGGAGCATAAGACTTTACATATAATTAGGTTTCTGGAAGGAGATATTGTTACACTTAAAATTATCAGATTATTATTACTTGGGATGAATATAGGATCAGTAATGATGTTATGATCAGTGATACCAACTTCATCTGTCCTACCCAAAGGAATACGTGCAGTTCGTGTTCAGATATGCAATGGAATCTCATTGGTCTGGATGTGTATGAACTAATGTGTGACAATCCAGACCCTTCACCGAGCTGTAAGTATAACTGCAAACATCAGTTATTCTCCAGTCTTTTAAAATTGCAAATGAGCAGTTTGGGTCTAGATGTTGACATCTTTTCAGTAGCCCTCTTCAGCTTGCCTGTCAACTAACTGCCAGCCTCCTCACTTAGTTCACAGGGTTTCAGAAGGAATCAGTAAGAATGCTGCCTCACCCTAGCCGGTATTTCTCAGTGGTTAGAGCGTCAGCACTTGGTCACAGGATTGATTCCCAGGTCAGGGCACATACAGGAGGCAACCAATGGATGTGTGTCTCTCATATCGATGTTTCTCTACCCCTCTCTCTCTGCCCCCCTCCTTCCATCTTTCCTTCCACTCTCTCTAAAAATAAATGGAAAAATCCTCAAGTGAGAATTAAAAAACTGCTGAATAGCTCAGCAGTTTAGAGCATCGTCCTGATATGCCAAGGTTTCAGTTTGATCCCCGGTCAAAAATATATTTTTATAAAAATCAACCAATGAATGCATAAAAAAGTGGAAGAACAGGAAGAACAAATCAATTGGTGTTTCTCTCTCTCTCTCTCTCTCTCTCTCTCTCTCTCTTTCTCTCTCCCCTTCCTCTCTCTAAAATCAATCAAAAAATTTTTAAGAATGCTGCCTCTGATCATTTGATTCCAGGATGAGCAGGGTTAAATCACAGCTAAACTTCACCAACCTTTTGGAGTCTAAGAAAGCAAAAATCAAAGGGCAAGTATTGGCATTACTAATTATATGAATTCAAAGGAATTTGAAGAAGAGCAACCAAACATGGTAAAAAAAAAAAAATTAAAAGGAGAGAAAGCACTTAGTTTTAAAAAAATTAAGAAAGCAAATCATGTTTTGCTTGGCCCTGTGAATTAGAAGCCTGCCAAAAACGGTCTGCAAAGGTGCAAGAACCAGAAAGCTTCTCGAGTGTTCTGCCTTCACCAGAAACATGGAAGGAATTTCCTACAGATGGTCAGGATGGAATTACGGGGGGAAAAAACACCCTCATCAGGCCTTTGTTTGCTCATTCATTGCCAGGCAGGGTGCTAGACATGGGAGATATAAAATGAACACGGCATGGCTCTGGCCCTCAAAGCTTACCCTCTAGTCCAGAGAGATACAACAACTATTCTGCACACTGAAGTGTTGAAGTCACCAGGAAATAATATTCAAAGGACAGAGTGGATGAACCAAAAAAAAAAAAAATTCAGCAGGGCTGCAGTGGCTCAGTGGTTGAGCATTGACCTGTGAACCAGGGGGTCATGGTTCATTCCCAGTAAGGACATATGCCTGGGTTGCAGGCTCAATCCCCAATGGTGCAGGAGGCAGCTGATCAATTCTCTCTCATCATTGATGTTTCTATCTCTCTCTTCCTCTCTGAAATCAATAAAAAAAATATATTTTTAACAACAATAACAAAATGAAACAATTCATGGCAATCATGTAGGGCTGTTCAATGAGATGACAAACTTTCCCACGAAAGGTGAAGTGGAATCTGAATTAAGAGATATATTTGAGTCAAATCTTAAGAAAGGGGGTCTTGAAGAAGCATTGATTCATATTGATTCTAAGAAGGGTATTATCTCAGAAGTGTTCTCCACCTTTAATTTCTAGGATATTAATTTTACAAAGCGGAATTGCTGCCATACATCACTAAGCAATTTCTGCCCTTCCATACCCACTCCCCACCCTCTGTGCCCACCTCCCTCCATCTCCACCCCTGTAACAGAGATACCAGGTGAGTGGGGCTCATCTGAACTCCACTCTAATCCAAAGTGACCTTGAGCAACTCCCATCACTACTCAGGGCCTTGGTTTCCTCCCCGGTAAAATGAGGATCCCTGGTCAAGTCTCAAGTCCATTTCTGCTCCAAATTATGAAATCGAGACAAGAAACCAGAAAGGGAACTCAAGAGAAACAAAAGTGAAAGTGTCCAAAGGAAACACAGTAGTAAACAAACGTACAAAGTGTTATATCTCACTGAAAAACCTGGCAGAGTTCCCAAATACTTTTTACCCCCAGCAACCCCAGACACGAGACTTGGGAAAGAATGAAATGACTGTCACGCCCTCGGAATGTGAATAAGATCAGTGTAACACGAATCCACCTTGCTTCATGCCACTGCCTTAAACAATGCTCCCGACCATTTATTAGAACTGTCTTCCAAATCAACCATTCCTTGATGTATGTATGGTCCGTTCCCATATAACACCCACCACCACCACCACCACCATCAAACACCACACAAGGGTGTGTCCTACTTTGGCAAGAGAAATGGGGGTAAAGAAAGAGGGAAGGATTAGATGCTGCCTGGTGTGGCCACGCGGTTGTCATCAACAACAGCATCGAAGCAAACTATTTTAAAACTTGGGAAAGACGTATTTCTTTCCTTAGGTAACAGCGAGACTTCTCTGAATGTAACCCAAAACGGGACCCTCGCTCGGGAGCAACAGCGCGAGCTCTGGGATGGACCGGCAAGTGGAGGCCGCCAGGAGGGATCAAGCTGACAGCTCCGCCGAGTCTGTGGCGGGTGTGAGACCAGGGCAGGCGACTGCCAAGGCTGGCGGGTGCGATCTGGACCCACCAAGGGTCACCGGGCTCACTAGGTTGGAGGATGCGCCCTGTCCGCTGCGGAGCCTCCTTTCCCCGAGCAGAGGAGGGAAGGGAGCACACGCGCGCGCACGTGCACGTGTACACACACGCACACACACACGCGCGCGCGCGCACCCTTCCCTGGGAGTTGTGTCTCGTCTCTCTTTTGTTTTTCTCCCTTCTCGGTCATGAGACCCGGAAGTTTGTGTATTTTTGAATCCCGTTTCTCTCCCTTTTCCACCCTCCTCCTCCTCCCGCCCTGGCCCCCCCAATCTATCACATGCCAGAGATAGAATAAAAACAGAAAAATGGCGACGGTCACGTTGTGGCGAGCCTTACTGCGTCATTAGATAATCCTCAT